TACGTTCGTCGTGTGATGGTTGAGTATTTCTGTGCTTCTGCCAGAGAGTTCTGTGACCTGCTTAAGTCTCCTAATCGGCGGTCAGATCCTCTTACTTAAGGAAAACACACCTGCTGTTGTTCCCACCTTGACGCTTGAATTTGGATCCTGTTGCACGAACTGCGTCTTTCTGTGGTGAATGTTGTGTGTTGCGCATGGGGTCCATCATTTTCAAAAAGATGCGGCCCGAAACAAGAGAGCTCGTAGTGCGTACCAGTCTGGGGCTGGGGCCCACCCGTGGAATCGATAACGTCGCCAGCCCAGTCGTAGACACTGCTCAGCACCACTATGTCCCAGCACTACACGCCCCACTTGTTTTGGAGGCTTTTCGAAGGGTCAGAGACCAACCCCACTCGGGGTTCGCTGGGACCTATCCTCCTTGGAAATTCTGGGGACACCTTGGGCCAGGGGTACCTTGGGCAACATCCGACCCGCATAATTTGCAGCCCGCGTCTGTCGAGGCGGTCCACACGTGGCTCCTGAAAGTTCCAACGGCACACCCAGCGCTGCATGCTCGCAGACGCTTCCGTGCGCTTTGCAGATGGCGTTGTGTGAAGTCGAGCGTGCTGACAGTGTACTTCAGCGCGCGTTCCAACACACGTAGCCTTTTCCGAACATTCTGTGTGTTGCACCGTGTTTTTTTGGGCATTCGTTCAATGACTTTAGGCTCAGTTGTATGCTTCCTGTGTTCAGTTCGTGCTCATTGTCACGACTCTTTCCACCGAAGACACAGCGTCGCCCTTGCTCATTTAATTCATATGGAGGCCGCTGCGGTGCTGGACGTGTTGGAGGCTGGTGCGCGGGACACATTGGAGGCCAGTGCGCTGCTGCTGCTGCTGTCGTCGTCGTCGTCGTCGTCGTCGTCGTCGTCGTCGTCGTCGCCGTAGTCCCCCGTCGCCCTTCTCCTCATGCTCCCTTCTTCTTTCTTCCCTCCCCCTCCTTTTCCTGCTCGCTCTCCCCTCCGTGCTCCTCCCTTTCCACATCTCCCCCCTTCGGGAGGTGGAGGAGGACGTGGAGGAGGAGGAGGATGAGGAGGAGAAGGATGAGGAGGAGGCGGACGAGGAGGAGGAAGAAGAGGAGGAGGAGGGGGAGGAGGAGGAGGAGGATGTTGATGTTGTTGATGATGATGACGATGATGATGATGATGATGATGATGAGGAGGAGGAGGAGGAGGAGGAGGAGGAGGAGGGAGGGGTAGGGAACGGGAGAAGAAGGAGGGGTGAAGGCGGAGGGGAGGGGAGTGGGAGGAGGGGAGGAGGAAAGGAGGAGGATTCTGAGGAGGGAGGAGGAGGGGGGGGAGGAGGGAGGAGGTAGGGCGGATGAGGGGGGGGAGAGGAGGCGGGAGAGGAGGAGGATGAGGAAGGAGGAGGAGGAGGACGAGTGGATGATGAGGTGGAGTAGGAGGAGACGAGGAGGAGAAAGGGAGAGGAGGGGGAGGAGGAGGGGGGTGGGGAGGAAGAGGAGGAGGAGGAGGAGGAAGAGGAGGAAGAGGAGGAGGAGGAGGATGAGGATGAGGAGGAGGACGATCACTATTAATACGGATACTACCATTAAGAATAACAGTATTAATTCTACTGAGACGAATACCATCAATACTACCACTACTACTTATGTTTTAACAAAACTAACATTCCCCAATCAGAGCTTGCCTCTGTAGGGGTCCTAGCGGACTCATATGGTTAGGTTAGGTTTGCCGCCGATTTTCGCTGCACGCCCGGGTGCCCGGGTGCCCCGGGGTGCCCGGGTGCCCCGGGGTGCCCGAGTGCCGGGGTGCCCGGGTGCCCGGGTGCCCGGGTGCCTAGGTGCCCGGGCGTGCCCGGGGGTGCCCGGTCGCCCGGGGGTGCCCTATAGCCCTATAGCCCAATAGCCCTGTAGCTTTATAGCCCAATAGCCCTATAGCCCTATAGCCCTACAGCTCTATAGCCCGATAGCCCTATAGCCCTGCTCAATAGCCCTATGGCCCTATAGCCGTATAGCCCTATAGCCCTATCTCCTGTACTATCAAAAAAGACTCTGATGGGGATTTATCTCCGGTATCATATTATCATTCATACTATTACCACACATGCTGCTGATACGAATGGCATTACTATTAACATTAATAACAGTCGTACTAATGCTGCTGTTGCTGCTGCTGCTACCACTGTTAATGTTATTCGTAGTAATATTACCAATGTCAGTGCCACTATTCTTAACACTATTTACAACACGTATAACACTAGTGCTATTAGTAATACTATCAGCACCACTATTTATACGTATCGATAGGCAACATACACATACAATTGCTAACGCTAGTCGCATACTGCTGCTACTACTACTACTACTACTATTACTACTACGGCTACTACGGCTACTACTACTACTGCTGCTACTACTACTACTGCTACTACTGTTGCTATTATTGCTACTATTGCTACTACTACTACTACTACTACTACTACTACTACTACTAGTACTAGTACTACTACTAGTACTACTACTACTACTACTACTACTACTACTACTACTACGTACTACTACTCTACTCTACTAACTACTACTACTACTACTATTAACTACTACTACCTACTACTACTACTACTACTACTACTACTACTACTACGACTACTAGACTATACTACTACTACTACTATACTACTACTACTACTACTACGTCT